GGATCTTGGTGTGCGCGAGAACATTTAGGTGGTGACAGCGTACTATATGCGAGGCTGGCTTACCACCGTCCGGCCCGCGAGCAGAGGTCCGCGGAAAAGTCGGTCAAAGAGGAACCGCGCAGTGTGACTGTCCTGTTAGGCCACGGTGAGCAGCGGAGCAGGTGGGCGTTTGTTCACTTACGACTGCGCTGAGCGGGTCATCCAGAAGCACGTATTTAGATGGCTGCGTCGGAGACGGGTCAGAAACGATATCCTATGTCTGTCCTGGGGAGACGTACCGCGTAGATGGCACGGGCGAGCGCGACCCTGTCGACACATTGCAGATCCAGCAGCTGCCGAGCACGTAAAGCGTCCACTCACCTCGCCTTCTGTCCTCCCGACAAGCTGACACCCCTACCACACGCCCGCATCAATACCATCGCGAAGTATATATACACCCGACACGCACCGCGCGCCGATTTCCGTCGCGTCTCCGTCCTCCAGGATCGCCAGATCGGGCTGCAGCGCACAGCACTCGACGACGGCGGCGTACCGGTCCGCGTCGTACGGGTACCCAAAGAGGATGTTGTCCCGGATCGACTGGTGCCGCAGCCACGGCGTCTGCGCGGCGTACGAGATCGCGTGCGCGAGCCCGCTCTCATACACCTTCGACGGGTTCTTCGACATCACGATGCGGCCCTCCAGGCGCGTCATCTCGCCGAGGAGCGCCATCTGCTCGGCCAGTATGAGTATCAAGAAGCCATGTTAGAGTGGTGAGGGAGGGCGCACCAGGAGCGCCGTCTTGCCGCTCGCAGTCGGCCCAGTGACGACCGTCAGCTCGCCCTCGGGGAACATGACACTGATGTTCCGCAGCTCGAACCGGTGGTCCTCCGCCTCGCCCACCCGGCTCGCGTCGTCCACCTCCGTTTCCGCGTCATCCGTCGCGCCCGTCGCGCCCGCGTCGCGCGCGGTGCCCTTCTGGTCGTCCTTGGGCTCCTCGACCTCGTTCCACTTGAACGTGCCGTTGACGATGCCGAGCCCCGCCTCGCCGTCATCGGGCGGGACGCGTCCGCGCTTCAGAGAGGAGACTTGCTCGTCTACCTCGTCTTCGTCGAGGTAGGTCGATATGCGCTGGATGGCGACGCGCGCCTGCAGGATCTGGACGATCCATGCCGGGATGACGTTCAATGGTGCCCTGCTCTGGCTTCAGCCGGTATCCCCGCTCGTGGGCCGCGCGGACGTACCTGATCATCTGGAAGAGGGTAATCGCCTATACGGGGTGGCGTGTCAGTGGTGTCTTGGATATTGGATGGGGGGCACGCACCGTGAACGCCGTGCCGATGGTGAGCTCGTGGCCCTGGACGACATAGACGAGGAAGGACGTGACGGAGACCAGGATCGGGGCACACGTCCAGATCAGCGAGAACATCACCGAGTTGAGACGACCTTTGCGGACGCGCGTCAGCCGTGCGCTGCGATGCAAGATCTGCGCGCTCACTCTTGACCATCCACCGCATCTCGACTTCACGCGCGTCCATCGCGCGCTGGATCCAGCGGTCCTCCCATGCGAAGAGCTTGATGAACTTGATCTGTCGGAGAACAGCCGTCAGGCGGGTAGCACATATGTGAGCGCCGGACCTACTGCGCCGATGAGCTCGCTGAGTACGCCCATGCGTTTGTCGCGTGCGGTCGACACGCCCTTGTGGATGCGCACGGCCCGCTTGGAGACATAGTTGTTCAGGGGCCAGCTCATGACGAGCACAACGAAGCCCGCGAAGGCTGACAGGCCGAGCAGTCTGGATGGCAGAGTTATGAAGCGGTCGGCCTGGGATACAGCGAGGGAGGACGTACTGATAGAGGAAAATGCTAGCGATGATGATCTCGAAGGGCGCTGAAATCACGGATTAGATGCGAAGATGCTGGTCTGTAGGACGGCGGTACCTGAGTAGATAAAGTACATTCCCGAGGTGACGTTCGCGACCTGGCCAGAGGGAATTTAGCTTCGATCTCATACGCCGCAGTGCTAGACATACCTTGTTGGCATCCGCCGCCATGAGATTGACGATTTTCCCGATATCAGCACCAGCCTTCGGGTCGTCACCTTTCGGGTCCTCCTTCTGCGGCATCGTTTTGCCTTGCTTTGCACATGAGCGGATAAACGGTAAAAATCTCAAAGAAACGCACTCGCGGCCGCGTCTTTCCTCGTTTTCGCAGCATCCTTGTCGACGATGCCGGAAAAGTCCTTGCGCTTCAGCGCCTTGTCGTAGATTGCCGTCATCAGCTCGGACCGCATTCGCGTCGCGGCGCGGCGGCCGTACCACAGGTGCTGCACGTCCGCCTCTGCCTGCGCTACCGTCAGCTATCATCACGTGGCGTGAGCATCCCGAGACACGCACCTTGCAGAGGGTCGAGCAGAAGGCGAGGACGGCGTACACGTACGCGAGCGAGCGCTTCTCCGGGGTCGCGCGCGGGTCGAGCGAGTCGAGGATGCGCTTGAGGAAGAACGGCCCGGCGTAGTTGAAGAGCACGCTGACGTACGTCAGGACAAAGTCCAGGAGGAGATCGAGCGAGTTTGCCGCCCACAGCCGGCTCAGGAGCGGCGCGCGGTGCGACTGGCTGAACTTGATGAAGAGCGGGCGCGACTGCAACGTTGGGCTGAGCTCCCAGATGTCGGCCTCGTTGAGGATGGTGTTCGTGCCCTGTGCGGGGTGAGTGGGGTTCGGGGACGAGGGGGAGTACGTACGCGAGTGATGAGCGGGACGATCCAGCGGAAGGACGTCCAGCCCCAGAGGGAGGTGTAGTCCTCCGGGGAGACGGTTTTGCCCTGGCGATGGTCACGTCGGGCACTCGGAGAATACGGGTGAGGGGCTTACGATGCTGTCCTTTTTGATTCTCGGACTCGGGATCGCCAGGGGCATCTGGAGGATGACGAGGAGGAGAACGGCGATCGTGCAAAGATTGACTACATGTGCAGCCAGCTCGGCGGAAGAGAGAGGGTAGTCGTATATCGTATGATCGTAGAGGAGCCCGCCAAACGCGAGAGCGTTGAGGACGAGCTCGAGCACGACCAAGACGAGGAGATCGAGCGGGACGGTGGCTGCTGGCGCGACTATCGGGCGGAGGGCGGCATAGAACCACGGCAGCGCGACGGCGACGTACTGGAGGCCGTCGGACGGGTGGAGAGGGTCGGATACGAGTCTGTACGAGCCGACGGTGAGCCAGGCGAGCGTCTCGCCGAGCGCGATCCACGACAGGAGGAGGCTCCGCCACAGCGGGACTCGCGGCGCGTCCTTGCCGGCGCGCCCCGCCGGCGCGCCGTCGGCTGCGAGCAGGGCCTCTGCCTCGGGGAGGGTGAGGAAGTTTGTGAAGGGGCGTGCGAGGCGGGCGGCGGGGGTGCGGAGGGCGGCGGGGAGGGGGACGAAGGTGAGGAGGACGACGGCGAGAAAGGCGAGGGGGACGGCGGCGCGCCAGAAGGTGCGCGCGCACTCGCGCCCGAGGGCGAACAGCCCGCCTGCGTCGGTGCAGAGCATGGCCTGCGGTGAGGGGCCTGCGATAGCGACGCACGCTGTGGACGGTGTCCAAGTTTAGCGTGTAGCGTCGCTGCGGGCCGTGCGACGCGCTCACGCCGCGGGCCGTGTTGACCGACGCCGGGTGCCACGCCGGGTGCGTCCGCCTGCCTGGGCCACGCGTGCTTACGTAACGTGCGGGGGAGACTTGCGTGCAGGCGCCTTGTGCGGCGGGTATCTTCAAGGCTGCCACCGACGATGGAGTCGCTCAACCTCAACATGCTCGCCAGCTCCCTCCCCACATCCAACCTCGCAAACGCAGAGAAGGAGCTCGCCAACAACTTCAAAGGTCCGCCTTTGTCTCTCCCCGCCCCGCGCCCCCGCTGACCTCCGCGCACCCACAGCCGCCGCCCTCAGCCTGACGACCCTCTACCGCAGCTCGCGGCGCACATCCAAGCGGGCATACAACGCAGGCTATGCGGCGGCGTGCCAGGACCTCCTCCTCATGATCCAGCAGGGCGTCTCCACCGGCGAGAGCGGCCCCGGCATGAGCATCGGCCGCATCATGGACTACATCGAGGCGCGCCTCGAGGCGATCCGGAGCAGGGAGGAGGAGGAAGACGAGGACGAGGAGCGCGAGCGCGGCAGGATCGCCCCCACCCCCGCCGCAAAGCCCGCCCCGCCAAAGCAGAGCACGTCCGCGCCCGCGCCACCCCGGACCAAGGACACGATTGTAAGATGACTTTTGGCTCGCGCCCGCAGACTCATCCATTGGTCGCCCGCCAGGCATCCCCCGCAGGCCCGCCCACGCCGTACAGCCCCGCGTCCCCCGCCCCCGCATACGCCGCGCACCCCCCCTCCTCGCCGTCCCCGCCCGCGCCCCTTGCGCTCCGCCCAACGTTTGCGCAGCACCCCGCGACCAAGTCCCGCGCGTTCGACCCGCCGCTCGCCGTCATCCAGCCGTACCAGCCCGTCTCGGCCGCACCACCCCCGCCCGTGCTCTCCGCGCCCGACCTCGAGCCGCCCGCGGGCACGAAGCGGAGACACAACGTCATGATGCTCGACTCGGCGCCGCCCGCCTCGGATCCGGCGGCGGGCACGAGCCGGCGCCGCGTGCGCAGTGCGCGGGGCGCCGCGCTCGCGCCCCTCGCCCATGCGCACGACCAGAATCTGAATTACCAGCCGGGCGAGCCGATGGAGGTCGAGGACGAGGGCGGGCGCGAGCGGAAACGCGTCGCGCGGCGATGAGCGCACGCATGGCAGGGTGTGTAGAGGCTGGAGCACGGGCGGGTGCGGTTGACATAATGTAGGACGAGGGGGTGTGCGATAGGTCCGAGGCACCGCGCATGTTACGCAGCATCATTGTAATGTACCGGCTCATCGTATGTTTATGTTCATGCATGTTTTTGTGTTGATTACGAGCATACTCTGCGCGACAGAGTCCTCGCGTCCGACGTGACGACGGGTCGGTGGTGAGGCAAGGAAAAAGTTGAGAGACGATAAATCCTCTGCTAGTGACCGACGCAGGGGTCGAACCTGCAATCTCCTGATTACAATGCAGTGGAATGCACGGCGTCGTAGTCAGACGCGATGCCATTTCGCCAGTCGGCCATGCTGCAAAGTCGCCATAGGTACGCTACATCGTGGCACGTCGTCCGATGGAGCCACCCTTGTCGTCCGTGAGCCGACCCGTCCAACGTTCACGAATGTCTCTCAGAGACCACTCGGACGAGCCCGACTTTGACCAGCGCACAGAGTCCAGCGACGACGCGTCCGAATATGAAGAATCTGAAGACGCATCCGAGGAGGAGAGCGAGGACGACGACGAGGACGTCGACGACCGCGACGCGGTAGCGGACGCGGAGGAGACCCGCGCCGAGGCGGCCATCGAGGGCGACTTTGAGTGAGCTCTGCTGTGCTGCCCCCGTCCGTGTGCTGAGCATCCGCAGCCGTCTCGTGCAGGGCATCCGCCAGGGCGCCGCCGCGTCCGGCGCCGCGCTCCTCGGCAAGGACTGGGACTTTGACCTCGCAGAGAAGGAGGCCGAGTTCCGCGACGACCTTCGCGCCGCGTCCGGCGTCGGCCGCACCAAGGGCAGCAGGAAGGTGCGTCCGCGTGTGCTCCCGCTGCACACCCCTCCGGCGCGCTGATGGTTCTGTCGTCGTGCGCAGCGGGGACGCCGCGCAGGCCCCGTCCTCTCGCAGCAGGTCAAGGCGCTCATCGGCGAGGGCAACCAGGCCTACGTCGACAACGACCTCCCCGAGACCATCCGCATCATGCAGGAGGTCATCCGCATCGAGCCGCGCGCCCCCGCCGCCTGGTCCGTCCTCGCGCAGTGCTACGCCGACCGCGGCGAGCCCCAGCGCGCCCTCCAGCTCCGCATCATGGGCGCGCACCTCCTGCACGACGCGGACGAGTGGGAGCGCCTCGCGCGGCAGTCGCTGTGAGTCCCCCCGCCGTCAGCTCGCGCCCACTGCTCACTAGCCGCAGGGAGATGGGCCACAGCAAGGAGGCGCTGTACTGCTTCGGCAAGGTCACCTCCCTCGACCCCGCCAACGTCAACGCGCTCTGGGACCGCGCCACCCTCGCAAAGAGCATCGGAGAGCTCCGCACGGCGAGTCGATCGCACACCTGCGCCCCTAATCTCCTTGTGCTAACCCACCTCATCCGTGCCAGGCCCGCAACGCCCTGCTCACGCTCCTCAAGCGCCTCCCGCACAATCTCACCGTGCTCGACGAGCTCCGCCCGCTCCTCATCGAGCTCGCCGAGCTCCCGCTCTGCGCCACGCTCTTCGCCGCCGCCTTTGCGCACTACCACGCCGCCTTCCCCTCCGGCGCCGGCCGCGACCCGTTCGACCCCGCCCCCGCCGCCGACGTCCCCGGCGGCGGCTTCGGCCCCCTGCACCTCCTCGTCCTCGCGGACCTGCACAACACGCTCGGCGCGCACGAGCAGGCCGTGGCCGTGATCAGGAGCGGATACCGCTGGCTGCAGGGCCGCGCGGCGCAGCGGTGGTGGGATGCGTGCGAGGACGACCGCGAGTACGATGTGGACGGGCGCGAGGGCCGCCCGCGGGCCGAGGGCGAGGTGCAGCCGGGGATGTACCCGCTCGACGTGAATGCGCGGCATCGGCTCGCGATCGCGCGGATCAAGATGGGCGACGTCGAGGAGGGCAAGGTGCGTGGGCTGCTCCGCGTGCGCGGGGCGGGGCTGATGGATGTGGGCGCAGCGCCATGCGGGCGCCATCCTCGCGCAGGACGTGGCCGAGTACGCGCCGCTCTTTGCGGAGATTGCGGACGCGTACTATGAGCGCGAGATGTATGCGGACGCGGGGCACATCTACGAGATCCTCGGCGCCGACGCGGGGGTGAGTCCCGCCGCGCTACGCGTCCCGTCTGTTCCCTGACCCTCGCGCGCCCCAGACGAGCAGCCTGTATGTCATCCTCCAAGCGGCCGCGTGCCGGCGCATGGTCGGCGACCTGAAGGAGGCGGCCGAGATGTACGAGCACGGTGCGCGCCCGCCTGTGCCGATGTGCTTGGCATGTGCTCACCCCCGACAGTCATCGCCGCGGACCAGGCGCACAACGAGGCAAAGTTCAAGCTCGCGGAGATATACGAGATCCTCAACGAACCCCGCAAGGCGCTCGACCTCGTCCTCCAGAGTGAGCACCCGGCGATTCCCCCGTGCCGTTTCTCATCACACTCACGCCCCGCGCACAGTCATCGACGCACGCAAGCGCCGTCCCCGCGCGGGCGCCGCCGACGAGCCGCCGCCCGAGCCGGGCAGCTCGTCGCTCTTCGAGGAGCGCGCGCGCGCAAAGGGCAAGGCGCCCGCTGCCCGCCCGGCGAACCGGCTCACGCCCGCGCAGCTGCGCGCGCTCGAGGCGCAGAAGGAGCGCGAGACCGCGCAGGGCTGGCGCCGCGTGCGCGAGCTGTGGGCGCGCGCGCAGGCGGGCGAGCCCGAGGCGGAGCGCGAGTGGCTCGTCGAGGCGGAGAAGCTCGTCGAGGCGTTTCGCGAGACACGGAACCTGTTTTTGGCGAGCAGGGTGGGTGGTGTTTTTGGTGCTTTGTCTGTGTACGTGTGGCGTGGGTGCTGACTTGGGTGTGCGTGCAGCATTTGGGGTTCCGCGGGATGTTTCCGAGGACGGCGAGGAAGCTGTCTGCGGAGCAGAGCGAGGAGAGCATGGCGTCGCGGCTGCAGCTTGAGCTGGGTATGTGTCTGGGTGTTTGGGTCGGGGTGGTGCGCGGGCTCATGGAGATGGTGGCAGGTCGTGACAGTATCACCCGGACAAAGGTCAAGTCGGAGGGAGCAAAGGGCGAACGCTTGAACGCTTTCAGGACGATCACGTTTGACGACTGGCTGCGGTTGTTCATGCAGGTCTGTCGTCAAATGTTGGAAGGGTGTTCAAGCGGGTTGATCGAACGCAACTAGTACGCATTCTTGCTCACGAAGCGCGATCAGTACGACATGGCCCAGGAGATCCTCCGGCATATCACGTTCTCGAATGCGTATCAGACCCGCTCGGCCCAAGACACGATACGCATTGCTCTGATGGGTGAGCCTTGTCTTATTCTTCTTGAGAGACACGTTAACCACTACTGTTTGAATTGCAGCCTGTGCGATCCACGCACGTAAATTCGGCACCGTGGTGGAGCAGTCCCGGAAGCTCGTCAATGCCCACCAGTTCAACAACGAACCGCTTCGGATCCTGCTTGCCTCTCTAGGCAGCGGGCTCCAGGCCACCGATGCCTTCCTGGCCTCGACGTTGTCCAAGCACTTGTTGCGCGAGCTCAAAGTCGCGGACGCTGCGGTCAAGAACAAGGATGCGCTGCGGTGGAACCCCACTCTTCGGCGCTACGGCCCGGGTGGTGCATCCAGCAAAGCTGACGACGCAGACGACGCGCTCGAGGAAGATGCTGATGTTCCAAAGGATGATTCGGTGCTCACAGCTGACAAGTCGAGTGGGGCTGGGGCCTTTTTACCGACAAAGGACAACCCGATCAATGTCGCGTTGTACGGCCAGCTCTGCCTGGCATCACGGAGCTACCAAAGCGCGCTTTGTAGGCCGTCTCCGTCTGTTGATCCTTTACGCGGATTGATGCTGACTGTTGTCTAGTTTACTTGCTGCACGCCTACGACTACTGTCCGCACGACCCGATGATCTGTCTCTGCCTCGCAATCGCATCGTTTGGCCGTGCCATGCAACGTCAGGCAGACAATCGACACCACCTCGTCGCGCAGGGGACGGCATTCCTGTCCCAATACCGCAAGCTGCGTGGAGCGGATGCGGCAGGAATGGACGAAGTCGAGTACAATTTTGGGCGAGCGTTCCAGCAGCTAGGTATGTTCAAGTCACGGTCTTATTTTTCCAGCTCGCCGACGCCTGACACAGGGTTGTACACGTTGGCTGTGCGTCACTACGAGCGGGTGTTGGAGATGGCCGAGATCAGGCTTCAGACCGACGAGCAGGTATATACACTCGGTCCCGATGCGCTAGCCTAGGATCGAGAGCTGATTCTATGCTATAGGCGTATGGCTTGGCGCGCGAAGCGGCATACAATTTGTCGCAAGTCTACGTAATTACTGGGGCGACGCCGTTGGCCCAAGAATTGTATCGCCGTTGGCTGTCAATATGAAGTAGACCCATACCCCTGCTCATCGTCTTGTATCGTTAGCATAGATCTGACAATGTCATATTGTATTATGATCGAAGCTAATGGACCGAACAAGTATGGCCAGAATCACGAGGCGGACACGACGATCAGACTGCCAATTACGACCTTGACTGACTGCGTTGTGGTATATAGGTTCGTGAGCGACACGCTCAGCTCCGTACTGCCTGGCGCATCTCCATCTGACAGAACCATCGCTACGTACCGTCTCCCGTCTTCAGCGAAGATGGTATTCTCTCCTGCTCGTCCCGTCCCTCGGATGGTGAGTCATGCTGATGATATTCTCAGCTTGATCTGATTACGATGATTCGTCAGCCACCGCTCTCTTCGACTGCCTCTAATAGTAGCTCCGACAGCAGTTCTTCGGACACATCCTCCCTACCGTCGTGCTTCAACACACCGGCCGATAGTCGCTCGCAGTCCTTTGAAGACATCTCGGTCGAACGATATTCGTGCGACAATCTCGATGCTACGCCCAGGCCACTCGATGTGGACTCCCAGCCACAGTCGAGCAAGGCGTCCCAACCGGTGACGCCGAGGTCGAGGCCCCTGTCTCGTGTCGTCACCAAATTCAGGAAACTGGCCGGCAAAACTTTGAGAACAATGAAGGCATCGAGGAAGGTAAGGCGACGATCGTGTTTCGCAGCATCCCCATTGATCGTCTTATTCGTGTCTAACCAGCAGACGAAAACCCCTGACGATACCATTCCATCTATATCTTCCTTCTACCCCGCCATTCCGGGGGCGTGGCAGGAGACTTTCAGCGTGAGCTCTCTGATATTTCTACACTTCCATGCTTCACTCAAGAAAACCTGCAGGGAAGCACATCAAGCGTGTTCATCTCCGTTTCCCGTGAAGTGTTCATCCATTTCGATCCACCACAGGACGAGCAGCCTTCAACGGCTGACGAGAGAGAGGTTGGACGTCCGCTGTGATACGCTTA